ATTTGAGACCCACCTGGGCAACTTGGTGAGACCTCATCTCTACAATAAATCAAAAAATTAGCCAGACGTGGTAACACACGCCTGTAATTCCAGCCTACTTGGACGGCTGAGGCGGAAGGATCGCCGGAGCCCAGCAGGTCGAGGCTGCGGTGACCGGGAGCAGCCACTGCACTTCGGTCTGGGCGACAGAGTAAGACTCCAACTCAAAAAAAAAAGAAAGAAAGCCAGTTGTGGACCCATATGTATGGCATTCTGGCAGTTTCAGATGTCAGTCCACAAACTTAGATGTGCAATGACATGATTTTCTGTAATCCATCTCAGTGTCCATCTCTGATGCCCCATTCTGCCAAGGCAGCTGGGAGCAAGTCTGGCTTCAATCCTCCAAAAGCTGGCCCATAATTCCAGGGTATTTCACAGGGCCTGATTTGTTTGGGGAGAAGGAAAAGGTGTGGGGGATGGAAAGCAGACCAGCATCCAGCCCTCAGGCAACAAGGATGACGCGTTGTCATCCCTGGCTTTGGCTTCATGGCTCTGGACTTGGGACCAGGGGATACCTTGCAAGCTGCCCATGGTCCTGCCTGCCATTACTCTCTGGGGATCCTGCTATCTTGGACAAGGCACTGTCTCTGCTGAGGCATTCCCAGCCCCTAAGGGCTTCAGCTTTTGAAACACTTAAACCAGCTTTTCTGCTCTTATGTCGGTGCCATGCAACCCCTGGGCAATGAACACAGAAGCCAAAGCACAGAAAAGTAGAAAATGTTGGAAAGAACAAAGCAGGGTAACACAGAAACACACTTGATGTTTTGAAAAGATCATGCCGATTACCACGAAGGGAAATGCCTGGAAGGGCCAAAATGGACAAGGCCTGGGCTGTGGAGATAGGGGGCAGTGGGTGGAAACTGAGCTATCTTGGAGTTAAAAAATCAACAGAAGTAGGTGAGGAATTAGATTGGGGTAAGAGATGAGGGAAAAAAGGAGGAAGCATCAAGAATTACTTTTTCCCCCCTGGCAATAAATATTTTAATTTTTTTTTCATTTTTATGATAACAAATAATTTTTTTTTTGGAGGTGGAGTCTCACTCTGTTGCCCAGGCTGGAGAGCAGTGGCTCACAGCCACCGCAGCCTCGACCTGCTGAGCTCCGGCCATCCTTCCGCCTCAGCCTTCCAAGTAGCTGGAACTACAGGTACGCGCCCCCACGCCCGGCTAATTTTTCCATTTATTGTAGCGATGAGGTCTTGCCAAGTTGCCCAGGTTGGTCTCAAACTCCTGGGCTCGGGCAATCCTCTCGCCTTCGGTTCCCAAAGTGCTGGGATTACAGGTTTGAGCCACCGCGCCCAGCCTGACAAATAATTTTCAAGTTTATTTCCTTTTGTATGTGTAAATTCAAAGCTAAACCACAAACAGGTACAACCAAGACATGTTATCTCACATTGACACACTCCCATCGGATCCTCCTCTGATTCACTGATCATTGGCCAGGCTAAGAAGGGGTGGGGGGGGTACTTTCTTTTTTTTTCTTTTTCTTTTTGTGAGTTGGCGTCTCACTCTGTTGCCCAGATTGGAGTGCAGTGGCCGCTCCCAGCCACCGCAGCCTCGACCTACTGGGCTTGGCGATCCTTCCGCCTCAGCCTTCCAAGTCGCTGGAACTACAGGTGCGCGCTACCACACCCGGCTAATTTTTTGATTTATTGTAGAGATGAGGTCTCACCAAGCTGCCCAGGCGGGTCTCGAACCTGCGGGCTCAGGCAATCCACTCACCTCAGCCTCCCAAAGGTACGGGATTACAGGCTGAGCCACCGAGCCCGGCTGGAAGACTTTCTAAGGTAGCACATCATGAGACCTGGGGTGGGATGGGGTGTGGGGAGGTCCAGGACGAGGATGGGCTCTCATACCTGTTTTCATTCACATTTACATAAGGATGCCTTCTAAGAGGCTGGGCGCAGTGGCTCGTGTAAGTAATCTCAGCACTTTGGGAGGCTGAGGTGGGAGGACTGCTTGAGCCGGAGAGTTTGAGACCAGCCTGGGCAACACAGCAAGACCTCATCTCTACAAAAATCAAAGAGTGAGTCAGGCATGGTGGCAGGTGCCTGTAGTCCCAGCTGCTCAGGAGGCTGAGGCAGGACTGCCTGAGCCCAGAAAGTCGAGCTGTGATCGTGCCACTGCACTCCAGCCTGGCCACAGAGTGAGACACTGATTTAAAAAAATAAATGACTCCTAAGGATCGCTTGAGCCCAGGAGTTTGAGGCTGCAGTGAGCTATGAGTGTACCGCTGCACTCCAGCCTGGGCGACAGAGAGACACCCTGTCTCTGGGGTGGGGAGAATGACTCTTAAGATTCTGCCCCGGGAGATGGTGAAGCCATCGCACATGGCGTTCCCACTTCTGGAACACCCACCACTACCATAACCCCTTCACCTGACTGACTCCTACTCATCCTCAGACTTCCATGCAGGCATCATTTCTGGAGTCGCGTTCCCTGACCCCAGGGCCAGGCCAGACTCCTTGGTTTTATCCTCTCCATTTCTTTTGCATATTTACTCAGGGTTTGAGTACACATCCATTAGTATCTGTCAGGTCCATGAATTGATCTGGGCTCCCTGTGGCACCCTCAATGCCTGGCACATAGAAGGTGCTCAATAAATAAAGGCTCCAAAATGCAGACAGAGGAGACTGGACTGGACTCTGCAGGCTGGCGTTTCTCAGGCGGAGTGGAGGTTGCTGGGTGTCAAAATGCAGACTCCCCCCCATTCCAACAGGGAAGGTGTTGGCTGGGCGTGGCTCACACCTGCAATCCCAGCACTTTGGAAGGTTAAGGCGGGAGGACTGCTTGAGCCCAGGAGTTAGAGGCCAGCGTAGACAACATAGTGAGAACTCATCTCTATTTTTAAAAAGAAAAGAAGGAGCATCAAAAAATAAATAGAACAAAAACAAAAGGGGAAGGGGCCCTGGCCACTTCAAGAATCTCTGTGTGGACCCGGGTTCAGTGGCTCAGCCTGTCATCCCGCGCCTTGGGAGGCTGAGGTGAGTGGATTGCCTGAGGCCGTGGATTCGAGACCCGCCTGGGCAACTTGGTGAGATCTCATCTCTATAATAAATAAATAAAAAAAAAAAAAAAAAAAAAATTAGCCGGGTG